AATATGTAATAAAATACTATCCCACAAATATTACACCAGTCCCAGATGACTTCAGTGGTAAATTCTATTAACATCCAATATGTAAGGAAAAACAATGCCATCCCAGGTCAGGGAACTAAGATCTCACAAGCCATGTGGTACACACAGAATGTAAAAAAAAAAAAAAAAGAAATTTAAACTGACTCAAGAAAAAAAAGAAAATCTATAACAGAACTGTATTAAGAGACTGAATCAGTAATCAAAACCTCCCAACAAAGAAAAACCCAGAACCAGATGACTTTACTGGTTCTATCAAACATGCCCACCTAACATGTAAAGGTGAACTAACACCATCCTTCTCAAAATAGTGAAAATAGAAGAGGACCCACTTTCTAACACAGTCTATGAGACCAGCATTACCTTGATACCAAAGTTAGATAAAGATATCACAATGAAGGAACTGCAGGGCAATATCCCTTATGAACGTAGATGCAAAAGTCCTCAAAAAAATACTAGCAAGTCAAATCCAGCAGAATATTAAAAGAACTCTACACCAAGACCTTGGTATCATGGTTGGATGGTATCTTCGATGGACATGAATTTAAGCAGGCTCCAGCAGTTGGTGATGGACAGGGAAGCCTGGTGTGCTGCAGTCCATAGGGTCGCAGAAAGTCAGTCATGACTGAGTGACTGAACTAAACTGAACTGAATGCCAGCCATGACCAAGTGTGATTTATCCCAAGTCCATTTAATGGGGAAAAGGACAGTTTCCAATGAGTGGTGCTTGGAAGACTATATTCACACACAAAAGAGTGAGGTTGGCCCCATATCTTACATCACATATGAAGACTAATTCAAAATGGATTAAACACCTATTGTAAGAGCAAAAACTATAGAATGCTTAGAAAAAACATAGAGGAAAATCTTCATGACATTTGATTTGGCAATAGTTTCTGTCAAAAGCATAAGAAAAAAAAGAAAAAATAGATATATTGAACTTCATCAAAATTAAAAACTTATGTATCAAATTTCACTATCAAGAGTGAAAAGACAACCCACAGAATAGGAGAAATGTTTATAAATCACATATCTGATAAGGCATTAAATTCTAGAATACATAAAAAGCCCCTACAACTTGACAATAAAAAACAACCCTAGTTATAACTGGGCAGGGTTTCCTTGGTGGTCCAGGGCTTAAGAATCCACCTGCTAATGCAGGGGACATGGGTTCCATGCCTGTTCCTGGAAGATTCTGATACCTGCTACAACATGATGAACTTTTAAAACACTATACTAAGTGAAAGGATAAATATTATATGATCCCATCTATAAAAGATAACTAAAATAGGGCAACTTCATAGAGACAGAAAATAGAGATTATCAGAGTCTGGAGGAGTTGAGAGTGGATTGAGGTGTTATTGTGTAAATGGGTACAGAGTTTCTGTTTGGGTGAAGAAAAAGTTTTAGAAGTGGATATAAGTTACAAAAGTGGATACAATCTAGTTACACAAGATTGTGAAAGTAATTAATGCTACTTAAAAATGGTAAAAAACAAGACAAACATAAAAATCTTGTGGTATTGGGAGTATTGTTCTATTGTTACAAAGCCAACAAACAGATCAGCAGAACAGAATACAGATCAAGAATACAGGGCCCAGAAATAGCTCTTAGTGTTGATGAGAATTTGGTATATAAGATAACATTAGAAATTTATAAGAAAAAAAGGGACTATTTGATAGATGGTCTTGGGACCATGGGCTTTATCTGTTAGATGTTACACCAGATGAGTATACGTAAATCTAAGTCCAAGATGTCAACTTGTTCTTTAATAAGCAAGATGGAAGGGCATTAAAATAGATTATTTGCTGAATATAGTTAAGCAGATTAAACTATTGGGTTAACTACAGATGTACTAGTACCACCTTCCCTGAGGCCCAACTAAAAGATTAATAGGAAACCAATAAACAGATTTTCACTGAAAAAAAAAAGTAATACACCAAATTAATAGAGTGAATTTGGACCATAAAGGTTAAGTATTGAAGAATTGATGCTTTTGAATTGTGGTGCTGGAGAAGACTCTTGAGAGTCTTGGACAGCAAGGAAATCAAACCAGTCAATTTTAAAGAAAATCAGCCCTAACTATTCATAGGAAGGACTGATACTGAAGCTGAAGCTCCAATACTTTGGCCACACCTGATGTGAAGAGCCAACTTACTGGAAAAGACCTTGAAGCTGGGATAAACTGAGGGCATGAGAAGACATCTAAAGAGAATGATACGGTTGGATGGCATCACTGATACTATGAGTTTGAGCAAATTCCAGGAGATGGTGTAGGACAGAGAAGCCTGGCATGCTTCAGTCCATGGGGTCACAAAGAGTTGGACATGACTTAGCAACTGAACAATAACAACAATAATAGAATGAAGGGGAAAAAACACAATTTTCTGACGCAGAAAAGTATTTGACAAAATGCAATAACTGTTTGGGCTTCCCTGGTAGCTCTGTTGGTAAAGAATCTGCCTGCAGTGCAGGAGACCCAGGTTCAATCCCTGGGTCAGGAAGATCCCCTGGAGAAGGGCATGGCAACCCACTCCAGTATTCTGGCCTGGAGAATTCCATGGACAGAGGAGCCTAGCAGGCTACAGTCTATGGGGTTGCAAAAAGTCAGACAGGGCTGGGGACTAAGCACATGCTTTACTCATCTCTTGGGAAAGTCCCAAGCATACCTTTCAAATCCTTTAATCAGATAACACCTTGCCTAACTTGTGGGTTCTTTCCAAAGATCAAAGAAGCCAAAATGAAGAACAAGTAATTAACAGATGGCCAGATCTCTTCCCCCCCTTCCCCTGAAAGAATCTCCCAAACTGTACAACCAAACCCTGTGAACAAGATAACACCTATAGGAAAATCACAATAAGTCAACAGGCCTGCAGGCCGTTGAGATGGCAACAACTCTGACTCTTAATCTTAATAATTAACTGAGATTACTGCCTCCTTCCCTTTAAAAGCAGACTCTTCAGAGGTGGTTTTTGGGGGACGTTGAATCCACTGTCACTTCAGATTGCTGGCATTCTGATGAAAAGCACTTTTCCTTTACTACCAACATTTGTGACTATGTAACTGATTTTGTAAGTAGTGAGCAGTGGGATCCCCAATGGATATTAGTACTGGCATAAGGATAAATATATAGAGAAATGGAACAAAAAAATTTGGGGGGTCACATTGTGTGCCATGTGGAAATTCCCTGATAAGGGGGATCAGGGATCAAACCTGTGCCCCCTGCAGTGGAAGCACAATCTTAACCACTGAACCACCAGGAAAGTCCTAAATGGACCAGAATTTTGAGTCCAGAAATAAACCAACACATCTAGGGTCAGTTGATTTTTGACCAGGGAAGAGTTCTGAAAGGTTGTTGCTGAACGATAAGACGCGGAATTCTTGGCCTCCGGAGGAGATGAATTCAATCTGGGGCCAGAGACGAGGCTCGATCGCTCAGAGCTTTTGTGTAATAAAGTTTTATTAAAGTATAAAGGAGATAACCCTATATGCAAAACAGAAAAAGAGACACAGATGTATAGAACAGACTTTTGGACTCTGTGGGAGAAGGCGAGGGTGGGATGTTTCAAGAGAACAGCGTCGAAACATGTATATTATCTAGGGTGAAACAGATCACCAGCCCAGGTTGGATGCATGAGACAAGTGCTCGGGCCTGGTGCACTGGGAAGACCCAGAGGGATCGGGTGGAGAGGGAGGTGGGAGGGGGGATCGGGATGGGGATGGGGAACACATGTAAATCCATGACTGATTCATGTCAATGTATGACAAAACCCACTACAATATTGTAAAGTAATTAGCCTCCAACTAATAAAAAAAAAAAAAATAACACATGTAAATCCATGGCTGATTCATGTCAATGTATGACAAAACCCACTACAATATTGTAAAGTAATTAGCCTCCAACTAATAAAAAAAATTTTTTAAAAAGTATAAAGGAGATAGAGAAAGCTTCTGACATAGGCATCAGAAGGGGGCAAAAGAGTACCCCCCTCCTAGTCTTTAGCTGTATGTTATATAGTCACTCACAGTCTGTTAATGAAAAGAAAGGAATGTCATAAAATTTAGAATGGCACCAGATAATTCATCCCTGGCCAAAAAATGATTGACTTGAATCTTGTAGAATACCAACAAATAGTTTCATTTACATAGATTAGGGGAACAATACCTGAGTAAGTAAGTTAGGCCGTTTGGCGGAACCAACTTGAAGATAGAGTCTGGGGTACATAAACACAGCTTAAGACAACATTTCCATAAGAAAAAGAAATGTATTGGTTAGCTCAAGGTTTGAGAGTAGTTAGCTTCAGGTGAGACCAGGTGTCATGGCAACACAGCATTTTAAGAGAAACCTCCTTTTAAATTTGTATAGAGAAGGAAAAACATATCGCAGGTTTGTTTCTTCTTGCCGCTTAAGAGAGATAAAAATGTCTGGTACTAGCAGCCTCTTTCCTCCATTTGGAGACCCCTGGCCTTCCTGCCTGTTACCCTCTCAGTTCTGTCATTATCAAATGGTGCTGGGACCAAAAAGAAGAAGAAAAGAAGAGGCCTCACATAAAGGCCATCCATAGAAAAGTCTCTTTGCCTTAAGGAATCAAAGTAACTCCTTACTGGTGGCTTCAACAGACAAGATCCCTGGAGAACAGGTTTGAAAGCTGAACTAACCACAGGATCCCAGAATTGCTCACCTGAAGAAGAGTTCAAAAGACTCACAGGTGCCTTTACTTGCGTGGGGATGGCAGGGATCTGCAGATGAAGCCCAATATCAACTTGAATCCCAACACTAAAAACTGTCAAGTAAAAACAAACAGGTAAATGGAGATTATATTTGAAAGGATTATTCCAACAGGGATGAGGGTGGGATGGGGGTGGGGGGGGGTTGGGGGGAGACTATAGAAATAAAGCCAGAGGATAAATACAAAGGGAAGAACACTCAATTGTCCAAAAACAAAAAAAAAAAAAGTCCTGGATTTAGATAAAGAGAGTCTTTATTGGAAAGGGTTATTAAGAGGAAAAGAAACTACCGCAATGGGGTGTGGTAGCTGAGGCGACAACCATCTCTATCAGGAAATGCTATGCCCGCTGACGGGCACAGAGGCCTGCAACTACCTCCAGGGTTAGACAGAAAAGGGCCCTTCTTTTACAGGAAGGAGAACAAAGACTACACAGAACTGGGCATAGGGCCAGGGGGATGGATGGGTGGAGGTGGCAGTTGATCACATAAACTCAGGGTGGTTTATGTGAAGGTCAGCCTACTTTTCAGAGTGATGGTGAAGGGGGGATTGTAGGCTGTATCAGGCTGAGAGTGGGTCCAAGTTTTAGGAGCCTGGAAGAAAGAGAGAAGCTTAAGTTTGGTCAAAACAAGGTAGCTGGTATTTTGTCCAGATTGTCAGCGGGCACAATCAATAAAGATAATCAATCAAGAGGCAAAAACGGAAATTTGGAGGGTATATGTCTGACCTTGTCATGGGTAAACAAGGGGACATCCGTGAATAAACCGGATAAACCGCGTGGGGAAGTGGTTTCCTGCTGTCAGCCCTTCCAGGGACACGGAAGGGTCGCGGGGTGGTGGTGGTGGAGGTGGAGGTGGGGGGAGGTGGAAGGGGCGGGAGGATCTTGTCAACCGTCGCTTTCCGGAATCTCGGGGCTTAGGTAAAGTTCAACACGGTCAGAATGCAGGGAAATCTCTCCACAGATTCAATCAGAGGCTGACGACGTACACAGGTAAGTTGGTGCTGAGTTCTGAGGTGAGCCCACACCTAGCTCCCCGCGTTTTCCGCGCCGAGTGAAGACATAAGGAGCAGCAGCGTCCGCGGGAGGAAGGAGGCGGCCGCCATCGGCGCGGGCCACTGGGCTAGCCGAAGCGGCCACCGCCGCCAGTCCCGCCCCCAAGCGCGCGCGCTCGGGTCTGCGCAGAGCCAGCCTAGGCGCGCACTCGGCGCCGGGAGGCGGTGACCGAGGGAGGCGCGCGCGGTTCCAGCGGCCCGGCCGCCGAGCTCGATTGGGCCTGGGGGCGGCGGTGCCCCTCGTCTGAGGGGCTTCAGCCCGGCGGCGGCGGCGCCCGCGGCCCCTGAGCGGATTGAGACCGAGGCCGCGAGGCGACGGCGCGGCGCGGCCCCCTCCAGCGGCCGCGCCCGGAGTAAAACAAAAGAGAATGAAAGAAGTAGATAATCTTGAAAGTATAAAGGAAGAATGGGTTTGTGAAACAGGATCTGACCACCAACCTCTTAGTGATAGTCAACAAACAAATTGTGAATATTTTGTTGACAGCCTTTTTGAGGAAGCTCAGAGGGCCGGGCCGGCCGCCGGGCGGGGTCCGGTGAATGGGTTAGATGGCTCTGGCGGAGCCGCCTCGTCCCGTCTTTGTCTCGATGTCGGAGCTCCGGTCCGCGACCCCGAAAGGGCGCAGTGGGGCGGCGGGCAGGGCGGACTCGGGGCCCGCGCAGGTGAGGCGCGGCTCCAGGGCCGCCGACTCCGGGCACGCGCCCCGGTGGTTTTCTTGCTCTGCGGCGCTCGGAAACTTCGAGTTCTCAGTTCTCAAAATGCAGACGCGCAGCGCAGAAATACGGAGCATGTTTGTGTGGGATGGAGCTTTCTTAGGTAACTCCATTGGTTGGCTCTTGAAACTCACTTTAATTTTGTAGGCTTTTCCTACTTAATTTCTTTTTTTCCTCTCTGTCCATTTTTATTTGCAGTTTGTTGCTTGTTAGCAATAACGAACGTTAGTGTGGCTTCCAGCCTTGGTTTCTTCGTACTCAATTTGAGATCACTGAAAATAAAGATAGGAAACTGGCAGCCTCTACTAATGTGGGATTATAAAATAGGACCGATTGTATAAGCGACGTGAAAATCAAGCTTCCTTATTTCATAGTCGTGGCTCAGGTGTGTTTTGGGACTGTTTATAAGGTAAAGCCAGAGACAGGCACTGGTGGAATCAAAAAAGTTAAGAATTGTGTGCAGGATGGAGGGAGTGATTTAAGCACACAACAAAAGTGACGCAAGGCAGAAACAACTACGTATTGAACACTGACTTTTAGCCCTGCGTGTCATAAATACTTTACACGAAGACTTTTAATTACTGAATATTTAGTGTTAATTACTAAATTTATCATTCAAGTGTTTTTAGTACCTATTTTGTGCTGAGTGCTCACGCTGTGACAGTGACCATTATAGGTTTGTGCAGTGTCATTGGAGGAAACGAATAATCACACCAGTAAATGCCTGTCTACCTAACTTGTTTTTCCGTCGCTAAGTCGTATCCGACTCTGCGACCCAATGGACTGCAGCAAGCCAGGCTCCTCCATCCTCTGCTGTCTCCCAGAGTGTGCTCAAAGGCATGTCCTTTGCTTAGATGACTATCTATCCATCTCATCCTCTACCTAGAAAGAAGTTGAAAAAAAGGAATGTAAGGTGTTGTGTGGGCAAATAACCGGGGACTGAAGAAATCAGTTCAGATTTTCCTAGGAATAGGTCATCTTTGAGCTCAGTTATTATGGATAAGAGGGAAATTAGGTGAAGGTGACTTTCAGTACTGGAGCTCTTTGGAGCCCCCCTTCCACCCCCGCCCCCAGAAAGGACACCAAAACGTTTTCAAAAGGAAGGAAGAAAGATCCAGGCAAAGGAAATCAGTTCCACAAAGACTTGAGAATGTTTGGGGAACTGAAGATCAGAACAAGTGAACTGAGGGTGCGGTTAGTTCTGGTCAGAGAGATGATGTGATGCCTTTTAAACAATGTTAAGGTTTGGGGACCAGTTTTTTCTTTTCTTTTTTTTTAAACTTTTATACTGAAACTTTCAAACTACTCAAATGTAGTGAGAGAACATTGCAGTTAACTCCTTGTCATGTTATCCAAGGTATTTGGATCTTATTTGAAGAGTAGTGGGAGGTCTTGATGAATTTTAATCAGGAAAGTCTCATAATCAAATTTGTATCTTAATCAAAAAGGTCACCCTGACAAAAGACAAAACAACAAAAAAGAGAATTCCCTGGCAGTCCAGTGATTAGGACTCCATACTTTGACTGCCGAGGGCCTGGTTTGATCCTGGTCTGGGAACTAAGATCCGGTAAGCTGCACGTCATGAAAAAAAAGAAATGTCACCTTGACTCCTGTGTAGAAACTGAATTGGATGTCATGAAAAAAAAGAAATGTCACCTTGACTCCTGTGTAGAAACTGAATTGGATGGGAACAAGAATGGATGTGGGGAAACCACCTAGAGATGATGGTACTAGGGTTGTGGTTGTGAAGGTAGGGCAAATTCAAAGAGTACATAATTGATCTTTCCTTGTGTTAGTAATTCTATATTCATGCCTTTTGGAGGAATCGTGGAAGGTTTTCTAAAGGAGATTGTATTTGAGATGGGTTTTGCAAGGTAAATAACAGTATGGAGCCCATTCTGGAATGAAAATATCTTGGTGTCAAAAGGGTAGCTAATTCAGGGACCTAGAGGGTTTTTTTGCAGAAGTTTCACCTTTCTCCTAGGATTTTCTCATTGAAATTACTTTTGTCACTATCGTTGTGGTCCTTGTGAGCATATAACTCCCTCCTTAACAATTTTTTCTATTAATAGAAGATAGCAAAAGTGTATGTTCTTCATTACTGGGATTACAGCTAAGCTAAGCTAAAACTTTCCAAAAAATTTCATTTTTTGTTTTTGTTATGCACATAATAGTTAATAAACTAGAATTCACAAAATATACAAAGAATTGTCTTTTTAGTATTTGTATCTGATGCTGCCATAGTTTGCTCTTGGCGGCCTAATCCTATTCTGTAGAAGATGTAACTGAAAGGTGATCCATTGGTTTCTTTTCCCTTGTGCTGAGTGACTTTATCCTTAAAGGAGAAACTAGTTTCTGCATAGCATGCCTAGTGGTACAATATCTTGATTCAAACTCATAATCTTAAAAAAAAAAAAAAAAAAGCCTGTAGTATGTTTTTAAAAATTAGTAAAATTTGTAATATGCATATTTTTCTTTTCAAATTATAGTGTATACATTAAAAGATGACTTTCTTGGTAATCTAAATTTATTTTGACTGGATTTTCCTTTTAGTGGATACATTCCAGATAGCTCAGTTTCCTCTGGCTCCTGACTGATTTTATTACTACAGTTGTTGGGAGTAAGTGGGATAATATTTGAGAAGGTGTTTAGTAAACTGTGACATACAATACAAATGTAAGATGGTAGTGGTACTAATTGGAAGTAAGCTGAAGCAGAATGAAGGAACTTGTGTTCATCTGTCCATTCTGATGCCCAGCCTCATACTGGTAACTTGAACATTTGTCAGATGGCTTTTTTATTTTCTACATACAGTATGTACATGACTTAGGTTCTTTCATGTTACATGACTGATGATTGTAGATGCTCAGTCAATGGATATAAAATTTTTACATGGTTCATTTCCATGTTACTAATTTATGGTAGAAATACCTAAAATAATAGTAAGTTTATGTCCATTATAGAATGAGTTTTTTTGTTTCAAAACCATTTATTTATTTGGCTGCGTTGGGTCTTCGTTGCAATATGTGGGATCTTCATTGTGGCACAGGGCCTTAGTTGCCCCACAGCGTGTGGGATCTTGGTTCCCTAACTAGGGATCAAACCCATGTCCCTTGTATTGGAAGGTGGATTCTTAACCAGTGGATCACCAGGAAAGTTCCTAGAATGAGTTTTTACTTTATAATTCGTTGATGTGTTTGCAGTTAGTAATTCAGTATATTTTTTTCCTTGTTAGTCTGTAAACTTCCTATTAATGGATACTGAGTTTGTCCTTCTACCATTAGTTCTAAACTAGTACCTTGCACACAGCAGTGGGAGGTTCAGTAAGTATACAAATGTTTTTTAAAGTTAAATTAGTGAAATGAAAAGTGAAATTTCATAGCCATATTGAAATTAAAACTTTGAGACTAAGTCTGAAGGTGTTTCTTACCATAAGTCCTTGTAACAGAGGCTATAATTGGGGACTGGGAAAAGAGAAAGGAGCATAACGTTACTGTAGTCTCAATATTTCTTTTGTTCTCTGAACAACCTTCTTAGGAGGATAATTATCTCCAAGTTACAAGTTAGGCAACTGGTACTTAGAGAAGTTAAACAACTCTTAAGCTCAAAAATGATGTAACCAGTATTCCAGCACAGGATAGTTTGAATGCAAGGTCTGTTCTTCATTCTGTTTTGTTCTCATGGAACAAGTAAAAACAATTTATCAATAGCTTAAACTATGAAATGATAAAAACATATTAATAATTTGCTAGAGAATAATAACTTATTAATGGGAAACATAGTGAGATGCTTTAAGGATGGCTCCTCCTTGCTCTGCACTTGGCTAAGCACCTTGGAGGGCTTCCCTGGTAGAGCAGATGGTAAAGAAAGTGAAAGTGAAAGTTGCTCAGTGGTGTCTGACTCTTTGCAACCCCATGGACCACATAGGCCATGGAATTCTTCAGGCCAGAACACTGGAATGGGTAGCCTTTCCCTTCTCCAGCAGATCTTCCCAACCCAGGAATCAAACCCAGGTCTCCTGCATTGCAGGTGGATTCTTTACCAGCTGAACCACAAGGGAAACCCAAGAATACTGGAGTGGGTAGCCTATCTCTTCTCCAGTGGATCTTCCCAACCCAGGAATCGAACCAGGGTCTCCTGCATTGCAGCTGGCAAAGAAGCTGACTGCTTTTATCAGGGTCTCTCAATGTTAGCACTTGACATTTTGGGCAATACTTTCTTGTGGGGACTGTCTTATGCATTGTAGGATTTTCAGCAGCATCCCTGACCTCCTCTACTAGATATCAGGAGCACCCTTCATCCCCGTTGTTTTGACAACCCAGAAATGCCTCCAACTATTGCCAGATGTCTTCTTAGTGGCACAGT